ATTTAAGCCAATCTCTTTAAGATATTAAGAAATTTTAAAATGACCGTTCCACCTGCTTTGATTCTACAATTTTCAGACTCTTCTAAAATAATGCGTATTTTCTCACTAAAATCAAAAATAAAATTTTACACCTGTCAAATATTTGACTCCATTTAAAATATTGCAATATACAGGAGAACCTTTTTCTGTCTTGTGACTGAATCCTCTCAAAGACGCAGTTCTTGACTTGGATGTAAACTACAGGAACATACATCAAGTCAAATGAATTTCGCTTTGGGAACTTTTTATTTGAATGAAATGTATTATAGGTTCGTACTGTGGTATATGAAGATCTCGTTTTGATAGCCATGACCTTTACTTCTGGCATAAAGAAACAGAGTAATTGCTTTTATAAAAAATGTTTAAATGTTTATTTAAATAAACATTACTATATTAACATCATGTTTCAACATGAAAATGAATAATGTGACTGTCGTGACTGTGAAATTTTAAATATTTTGTGGTTTTCCTGCTTTCATATTTTCTTCATATATATATTCAATTAAAATATGCACACATATAGCTCAGTATTGAAATCTTCCATCTAAACTCATGGACTAGTATGATCTACCTGGTGCTCATCAGAAAGGCAGATTCTCAGACCCCGCCCTGATCTTTAGTGTCATTATCCATCTGTATAGGGCTCATCTGTACATAGGGTTGAGAACAAGGAACGTGAGTTGAGTAGAATACCATTGCCAATATGAAACATATAAAAATCAACCTATCAGTGGGTCAACATGGGATTTCACATTCTTTATCTTAAAATTTTTATATGTTTTATTTTTCTGTAATGTTTGCAGCTAATATTTATACTACTTTTGAAATCCATTCCATAAAAAGGACCTGTTACCTGATAGCAAAGCATAAAATTCTTGAAAGAGACTTTGTAATATTATTACTTCAGCCCATTTACCTCTACCATTTTTTCATAGTATCAATTTCAAAGACTCATTTCTATTTTCCTAAGTTATTCATGACTGTGCTCAAAGTGCTAACAAATAATCATCCATGGAGAGTGTGCTTAGTGTATCTAAATATGAATGTTTCTTTAGTTGATGTGAAAGCAGAACCACGGTTAAGTCAAATCTTACTACTTTGTCTGTTTCATTTTGTTTGGTCATTTCCTTATTTTTATTTATTCCATGTTTTCTTTTTTTTTTGTTTTAGTTGGGTCTGGTAAGTTGACATTTTCTTGGCCATCTCCTAATCACCACCGTGTCACTGTGACTGGAACTTCTCTTCCCCTTCCCATCCATACCCTTCCATGTCCTTCAACCAATCAGCCTCCATGTTTCACTTGTCCTTGGCCACAAAGACAGACTGCACAGAATAAATCTGCAGGAAGTATGGGTAACTGTGACAAAGAGTTAAAGGTAATGGGTTTGCTAACTTTCTGTCTTATTAAGTCATGTGTGATCTGAGCCCTTCAGTTGTTTCCTTCCTGAAGTATGGGATAAGTCATACGATTGTATCTTGATAAATGAAAGGCAGGTTCATTTAATGCCTCTATAGCGTTAAACAAACAAAAACACACGCCAGGATAACAGTTCAATGTTCTTTGTTTCAGGTGCATTGTTTTGCAGTTATAATTCAGTAGTCCTTAAAGTTCAGTTTCTGACTTACCTTGTGCTTGGAGCTTCTTACTGCTCATTTTTATTTTATTTTATTTTTTGGTATAAGGTTTATTTTGTTTCATATACAAACTAACCAAATGGAATATATAAAATTTACTTTTTTTTTAATGAAGAGCCATCAAGGTCCTTTGCCCTTAGTTTGTAAGATCCATTCATTCAGTGGTGTTGACAGAAAGCCACGTTGAGAGAAATTGTGATGCCAAAGGAGAGGCCAGTGCAGCATTTTCACCTTAAACCTCTCTCACTGTTGTTTAAGGATACATGGTCATTATTATTTCATAGTCACACATGTAGGATGGGCTTTTAAATAATGGAGTATGCTAGGTGCTGATCCTACTGCGCTATTATTGAGAGGAAAGAAAAATCAAAATGAAAACAATAGAGATTGATTACATTATTTATGATAGTACATCAGTTATTCAATAATTATTAAAATGGTGTTTTAATAGGATCTTGTTAAAGAATATTATATAGTTTGCATGGTAGAATTATTGGTAGTTTTTTCTTCTTTGCCCAGTTTTTCCATATTCACAGTACCTACTATATTACTATATTCATTCCACCATTATGTCCTTTGTACACAGCTAACTTAAATATTTTAAAATTCAAAAACCGTTATATAGTCATAGAACATCAAGTCTGTGTATGTGGTGAATTCCTTCAGTATAAATAGTTATATATTAATTAATAGAAATTTTTTGGCCCCTTTACCCTTAGAGATAAAACTATATCTGATATCTGACATACATAGAAAAAGGATTTTTTTCCTTGAGTTTATTTTTTAAAGCATGACATTACTGGCTTCAAACTCTTAGATACAATCAGTTCTCTTTGTAGATCTTCTGGGTAGCTGGTACTATAGGCTTATGCCACTGCACTAGTCTGAGGAGGATTTTTAAATTTTGTTTCTAAGAAGTCTCTTGTGGCTGATGTCACTGTTGATATTGGCTAGAAACTGTGCCTACAGAATATACTAAATCATTTCCAAGCAAATGTCCTGTGTGGAAGGATTGCTTCAGGATAAATGTAGTTAGCAGAAGGGTTTGTATTCCTTTTTCCCAAGTAAGTCTTTGAGGTTTGAGGAGAGCTGGCATTTTATAAAAGAAACAGTTTCTGGCACAGATTCCTAGGCGAGCTCCTGAGATTTGGGATGGAGACCACCCCAAGGCTTTGCTTGACTGAGTGGTTTGAACATTTATATTTTTCTACTTGGATCCCCTTCGTATTGGAAAGTCATCTGCTCCCACGCATCTAATTAATCATTTGGCTTTCCTTCATTGAAAGAAACCAAACTCTAGTCTAGATTTCGTTTATTATCCAGTCAGCTCTGAGTTTCTAAGTCTGATTCTACATCAGTTATTCTAACCCTTACCTAAGGAGGAAACTTCTACTGTTTGACTTGGTACCGGAGGGTACATCCCCAGGCAACCAGGAACACACCTATTATTATACCTGGGTAATGACAGTGTTAGCTAAATTCATGAGTAAACCACTCCATCAGAATCACAGGTTTTCTACCAAAAAAAATTATAAGGTGGAACTTTAGTTTGACCAAATTGAACTCCAACTGTGTCTCCCGGCTTTGTATTTTATCTTCTGTAAGTTAAAGAACATTTGAAAACATTTGACATTATTTTGCAAGTATCCTATAATTTTCTAGTCAACTGTTAGTTTTTCTACTAACCTTCAATCAAAAAAGAGAAAGTACATTTATCTAGAAGAGATCTAATTACTTTCTTCAGTTTTTATTACAATATTAACTGTGAACAAATGACATTATATTTTGTTTTTTAAAGAATGTTTATATTGATATATTTATGATTTTATACATATGTATAGTATGATGCATCTATTAAATAGGTTTTAATATACTTTTATGATATACTTTTGTAATTATCACATATATAGTATTATATATTATATATATCAGATACAATTGACCTGAAAATATAACAAAAAAGAAAATTATCTTTCTAAATATTTCTTTGAAAAGCCGAATCATTCTCCTTGGTTCACAAATAAATAAGCAACCAAATATATAAGAAAATAAAGTCATAAATGTAGGATTGGTTTTAGCTGGGAAGAGGAGGGAGGTCACCAAGAATGGAAAGGGAATCAGAGAGAGAAATGAGTAATGGAAGCACACAGCCTCAGATGTGTCATACACATGTATGAAAGTGTGAGAATAAACCCCGTTATTAAGTCTAATTCATATATGCTAATTAGAAAGCTTCAAAAAAGAAAGGAACCTTACTCTTGTGAGCAGTGTGGCGACATTCTTAGACATCATCTGAACGTGAGTTTCAATTCGGATTTCTTTTACGGAGTGACCTTAAGTGACTGATGTAAGCAACTGAAAATACTTTAAGGGAACAAAGGCCACGAGGGGACAGGCCATGAAGAGTGGGTTAGAGGCTCCAGCCCTGTGTAAGCGGTTAGAAGCACTGAGACAGGAGAGAATGGTTAGCTTTATCCGACAGCCGATAAGAAGTGGATTGGAAAGTCTACACATTAAATGAAAGGACAAACCCAGTACATATTGTTTGACTTTTTTTTCCTGTGCAATGCCCAGCCCTAACGCAGGCTCCAACTCCCCACCCAGGCATGCTCTGCCAGCATACCTACCTTTCAGCTTCCATTGCCCTCAACATAACTGATGCAATTTTCTGACACACTATTGACTGGTGCATGAAGTGGCCATTCACGTCTGTCTAAATCAAACAGTTTGGACAAAGCTGGCAGTATTTATAATGTCAGGATGAGCAGATGTTCTGAATTTGCCCTCATTTCCATATATATTCTGTTTGAAGATGCCCTTGCCCATGTAAATGAAGGGGGCATGTGACTCTACTAGTGCTTTAAATCCATTTCTATTCGAATAATTGGACTGAAGATTTTAAATGGCTGTAATTTGCATGGTAGCATTTCAGGCGCTTTTGAGGTAAATTAAAGTAATTTCAGCCCCTGCCCGTATCAGGAGATCTCGCATGAGCGTGATTAGACATCATCCACCTTGAAGCAGCTCTCAGTGAGAAAAGATAATATTTATTCATACAATAATTTTCGGGTGTGATTTGAATGGAAAGGGTCAGCTCGTAGCTCAAGAATCCTTCTAACTGTGAGGATTAATTCCAGGTCTAGGTTAAGTAATAAAGCTCTGCACAATACAACTCTATTTCATTCTATAAATATGCACTTAGCAATTTTACTTTAAATGAAGGGTGGGAGGTGGTCGCTTATTACAGTGTGTTGTAGAAAAATGAAGGCAGGACCATGTAGGGACTGTGGTACCATGATCTGATTCAGTGTGTTTTGTTTCTTTAGAGCCACCACATTTTGTTGTCAAGCCTCGTGACCAGGTGGTCGCCTTGGGACGCACTGTGACTTTTCAGTGTGAAGCAACTGGAAATCCTCAACCAGCTATCTTTTGGAGGAGAGAGGGGAGTCAGGTATCATTATTTTCTAGCTATTTATTTATTTATTTATTTATTTATTTACTTAAAGGAAATACAGTTACTGGTTATCTGCAAAGAAAAATTCAAGGATCATGAATTTATAGACTGATCACATTAGCAAGAAATGAGTCAGTCAAAAACTCCAGAAATGTTTAGAGGGAAGAGAAAGGGGTTCCCGTTTGAATTCTCAGAGCTATCTCCCATGCCTTATTTTAATACATAGAGTGGTGTGTATATGCCACTGTTTTGTCATATGAATGTTCCTTTTATTTTGAAACTGTCCACACTAAATAAAGCCTAGTCTATCCTCTCTATGTAACTCAGTTCCCACTCCCATTATGCGGCTATCTAGAATCTCACACGAGCAGATTAAAGAATATTTGAAATGAAACAGAGATAAGGATTATTCCATGTGAGTGCTCCAGAAGCTCAGGAACGTATATATCTTCCAAAGCTCCAAATGATGTAAAATTCCCTTTAGAGTCAATACCGTGTCCCCTAGAGTTCAATACTTTCTAATATTTAAAACCATCATGTGCACTTACCTGGTAGATCATGTTTTTTAAACATTTTGAAATCTAGAATATTAATTCCTGTCTTGTCAGGCTTCAGCATAATATGTAAAGCAACTGCAGAGGTTGAAATCATTTCTTATCTCTGTGATTTTTTTTTCCTTCTTCAATAAGGTGAAATACTTTTCTTGTAAAAATTAATTTCATTCATTTTCAGTATGGTCATTCCTTGGTCAATCTTATTGTTGCTTGATCCAGTGTTGGCAATTCTACAGTACTGCTTTTAAGGTTTTTGTAAAGAGCAATCACATAGCTTACTGACTGAACTCCATGATCTTTCAAGGGCAGTGCCACCAACTTTATTTAATTTTTTTATTTTACTCTGGTTGACACACATCAGTTTGACTATAGCATGTAGGCTATCATTTGAATTCTAATATCTTAGTGGGTTCTAAGATAATCCATTTGGCCATACAAAATTAAGTTTGCTGAGAACAAGTTAAAGACAAGAATTAATAGAGTAAGAAGAATTAAGATTGGGTTATGCAGGAATATCTTTATAGCATAAATTGTAATCCACAAGACGTCCTTTTTAGTAGTGTGACACTTCAACTGAATTAATTTCCGAAGTTTTTAATTACTTTGGTTCAACAGTGCAAATCATTTTGCATAAAAAGAGTCATTAAAACTTGTTCCACTGAGTATTACCTAACCCTTTACAAAATTATTCTGCTAAATAGCACTAAAACTTTAAAAGTAAAGCAATATCCTCGGTTAGGAAAAGATCAGTATGCTTGGTTTTCTGAAAAACAACATGTGAAGTACAAACTTCTAAGGAATGACATCTTTCTGTTCAGTTCTACATGAACTTGAAAACCCCGATAACATGCATTCTTATCTTCTAACACGAGAACATGATATACCACTGCTAAGTGATGTGTAAGTGGTCCAGAACAGTAGTGATCGACCACAGGAAGAAATGCTCATTATGGGGCCAAAATGGCATCCTCGAGTGTAGTTTATCAGAATTAATTTAAATTTTCAATTTGTTTATGTATTATACTATTAACCATCCATATGCAAAGCAAGATTTTTGTTGTAGTTTGCATAAATATATTTTAGTCTATCAAAATTTAGTCTTCTTGTATATCCAATATTATTCCCCAACTGATGTTTACGAAAATGCATGTAAGTATTGAGAATTTTAACATTTTTCATATAATTCCATCTAGCTTTGTATTATTAAACCCTTTATATTTAATAATATGCATTTATACATGTGCACATCAATATAAATGGTTTGTGGGGGAAGAATATTTAGTATATAAATATTTACAAATGTACACATTAACTTTGCCACACTATTTGGACTTAGTGGTTAACCTGTTTCTATTCTTTCCTCCCCATTTCCGGTTTTAGAATCTGCTTTTCTCATACCAGCCTCCACAGTCCTCTAGCCGGTTTTCAGTTTCACAGACAGGGGACCTCACTGTTACGAACGTCCAGCGGTCTGATGTCGGTTACTACATCTGTCAGACTTTAAATGTTGCTGGAAGTATCATCACAAAGGCGTATTTGGAAGTTACTGATGGTAAAGTAAAACATTTTTTTTTTCAAAATAATCCAGATTGTTTTAGGGTCTGAAAGAGCCTTGTGGTTGTTTGATAAAATAAAGTCATGGGCAGACTCTCATTTGGGACAGAACCCAGTATTTCTGTTTCCTCTAAATGAAGAAGAATAAGAATTGATCATGAATTCAAAAGCTGACAGATAACAATATGATAGGATTCATTCTATTTATGAACTCCCTAAACATGGTAAGCTATTGCCAAATATATTATAAAGACATGGTAATTGAGAAAAATTTCCAACCTACCAAATACAGGTAGCGATCTTCTGAAAAGATAGAAGAAAATATAAAATTGCCTATAAATATATTTACACATGTGCACATATATATGTATGTTTGTGGTACAAGATTTTAGTTTATGAAATATATATACATATATATTTCATCAAAGAAAATGTCTATAAATACATGGACTAGATATTTATAAATATATGTGCATGTATTTACCATACATGCTAACATACTGATACATACATTAAATATATTTTAGATATATAAAATATATTTACATGTATATAATATGTGTGTAGTATACATACTGATGCAGTATATTTGTGTTTGTTTCTGAGTATGTGTGTGTATAGTCAAGAAAGCATGACTGTAAACAACTTTGAAATTACAATGGCGTGCTTTTTGTTTTCAATATTGAGTTTATTTAAAAACTTAAAATTATTTTACATTTTTTTAATTCCAAGCATCAGATTAACAGTCCTAAAAATCAAGCTTCATTGTCTTTCAAGGAAAAGGATGGTACCAGAATAAAGCGATGCCAGCTATTGCTTCTTTCTAGTTGACTGTGTTGTTTGTGTATCTTTTGTGTGTGCGATGCAGGTGAAGGCCACAGGAAACTTTAGGTACCTTCCATTTGTTATTGAGATAGATTCTTTCATTGCCTGGGAACTGGTCAGAATGACTAGGCTGGCTTTCTAGGGAGCTCCCAACATCCTTCTGTCTCCGCCTCCTCAGTTCTAGGATTAAAATGCATTCAAAGTAGTTGTTCCATCTTTTTTCTAGAATAGACGCTACTTTCAATGTTTAACTACATTGCCATTTTATTTAACTTCAGATGGGCATAGATAACTGGCCGATGCATAGTCTCTCTTCTGTTCAACAGGTCTGCTTACTTTCTTTCATATTTGATTATTGTAGCTTAGAGTGTTAAACTCTTCAACTTGGAATTGCTTATTTTAGTTTTGCTAAACTGGCAAAAAAAAAAGTCACATAAGAATTTATACCCTACTAAGGGCTGGAATCATGGATGGAATCATTGTCTGCTCTTCCAGAGGTCCTGAGTTCAATCCCCAGCAACCACATGGTGGCTCACAACCATCTAGTGATGAGAACTGATGCCCTCTTCTGGCATTCAGCGATACATGCAGATGGAGCACTCATGCATAAAATGAATAAATGAATCTTTTTTTAAAAAGACTACATAGTCTACTCAAAGTTGTAAGGTTTTTTATTTTGATTCTATATAATCTGAAGTTATCCACTCGGAAATTATGTATATTCCACATATATCTCAATTTATTCAGCTTTTTCTTTAATATTTCTTAGTAATATCATTGTTTTCAGAATATAAATTTGCATATACTTTCTATTTCTACTTGATTTTTTGATGTGTCTATGTGTGAATTTAAATTTGTCATTATTGAGTGGTTTGAAGAAAGTTCTTATTTATGCAGTTAAATTTGTGTGTATTAACTTTTCATCAAGCAACTTTGATAAATTCCTTCATTTTCATAATGTTTTTATGTAAATTATTCTGAAATTTTTATATATAAAATCTAATTGAAAATAAAAGGTCTTACTTCATACAGAGAATATATATAAACAATATAATAGACATGTTTTATTTATAAATGAAAAATATATATTATATACCCCTTATCTTCCTTTCTTATCTTTCTTGTGTAATGAGTAGATTTGTAACTGTGGACATATTATTCTATATTCTACCTTTGAAGAAAAACATTCAGTTTTCCAAGTTGAGTTGGATTTTTGTAGCTAACACTGAATCTGGCGGCTTTCTCTGGGATGTTTCTTTTTAGAAGAGTAGCCTGGAGGCCTCAGGATGTTTAGTGTCCTTCCGTGTCCTGTACAGGGCACACTTGACACTCTGAAGACTCCATTCTGAATACCATACTGCTTGTGTGCTTCTCTATGCCATACCGCTTCTGTGTCTTCCCCTGTTGCACATTTATACTATCTTGAATTTCACTTTCTACAGGGAGCTTGCCCTAACACACCAAATATGAGTCCTGTGCCCCCATCCCTGCCATTCTGTACACAGATTGTTTCCACAATTCCATATGCTTCATCCTATATCTTGTGTTCCTCTCTTATTCATTGCAATCCAAGTTTCATAAAATTTGAGCCATTTTCTGTTTAATCAAGTCAATGTTTGTCTGGTATCCACCTCAGATTTAATGTGATCGATGCTTAGTAGATATTGTTGAGTATCAGGGAAAAAAAAACAAAAACAACAAAAAACAAAACAAAACAAAAACCCAGAAACAGCTAACTCCTAGGGAGAATTCAAAACCAGGATCGTCTGTGTCAAAAAATTTCATTATCTTATCATTGCCTATGACACATCCTATACATTATCCTGAAAATGTGTTTGTGGTACATGCTGTGCATTATAGCGTTAGATCATAATCATGAGGGCCACCTAATAGAAAGTAGAGTTCTAAAAATTGCTCAGACACTTATAATTGCAACTTCATATGGCCATCTATTAGATAAACAAAACTGCTGAACTTTTTCCAAATATCTCTAGTCTCATAATCTAAAGCAAAGATTTGTAGGCCATGGAAATGGCTCACTCCATAAACTGCTGCATAAGCCTGTGAGTCTGAGTTTGGATCTCCAAAAGCCCCATAAAATGTCCATCAGGACAGAGATCTGTAAGCTCAGAACTAGGCAAGCCAATTTCCAGTCTTGCCAATGAGGAAGTTCCAGTTTCACAAGAGACCCTTCCTGGAAAAAAAAATGTGAAAAACAATAGCAGAAGATACCCAAAGTAGAGCTCTGGTCTGCACAGTACAAACGCACCAAAACACACACACACACACACACATACACACACACACACACACTCACACTCACATACACACACACAAGGACTTCTTCATGGCTATGGCCATAATCATAGAGAATCCTGGCAATGTCAATATTTTTATACTACCAAGTCTGTTGGCCTGTTGGCTTGTAGACAGAGTATGTTCTCAATATTATTTGATTTATCTTCTTGACCTTCTGTATTATTGGCAAACACAATAAAGGGAAAGGCAGACTAAAGCATAAGTCAGGAGGGAAGTAGCAGCTGTCTGTGGTATGATGCCCATACTGAGGTTCAGCCTTACTGACATTGCCTAAAGAGTGTCTACATTTATATCTGCTGACTACTAGATTACGAGAAAAATAAAGCTTATTAAACAACAACAATATTTAAAACCACTTGTATTCATCTCTGACAAGTCTGACATGAAGTAGAAAGAGACTGTCCTCCATTTCCTTTTTTATTCAGACAAGCCATTTGACTTTAAAGTTTCAGTCCCTGATTGCTAAAAGGGGTGGTGCCACAAAAATATTTATAATATTGTATACCCAAAATCTTCTATTTTCAACAGACAGCTTTTTAAAGCAGCTGAAAATAGATGACAACTGAAATATTTACTTTGATGTTTGTTGATGTACACATGTACATTCTTCATACGTGAATCACTCGGTAACTCTGGTTTTTACTGAAAACCCATATATTACGTTGCATCTCATTAAACATTTCCATTTCTTGCACTCTCTGTCCTATTGTCTGATATTTCTTTTGCATAATTCCAATGTAAGGTGTTAGACACTGATTTGAAATTTGTCTCACAATCTGTAAATTTAGACTTTACCTATCACTGGGCCATATTTGTTGATATAAACTAAAGCATTTCATTAGATTTTATTACCCATTGATGAATACACTGTGGTTTTGTTTTCTGTGCATAGAAATGTGAAGGTGCTTTAATGAAATCCTATATTTCCAGCTCTGATGTACATATTAGCTTTTGTATAGCACATGTGAATATCTGGCCTTTTGCAGTTCCCTAGGCACACTCATGACCACTATTTCATCTCCATATCCACTGAGTACTCCTGAGCTGGTTTGAACAAGTATCGCTGCCCTAATTTTATTGATTTTAAAATGTGGCAAATTGGGAGAGATGGCTCAGTGGATAAAGCATCCCTGCAAATGTGAGGACCAGCATTTAGAACCTCAGAACCCATGTAAAAGCCCTCTGCAATCCCAGCACTTAAGAGGCAGTAACATGGGATCCCTGGAGGAGCTTGGTACCTAGACTAGCCTGTATTGTGATGCTCCTGACTTAGAAAGACACTTTGACCCAATAAATAAAACAGAAAGCAATGAAGGAAGGGGCCAGACTTAACCTTTGTTTGGTCTCACATGCATGTACATGCTCATTCATGGTGACAAGGACACCCGCCACACATATACACAAGCAAACAACACACACACACACAAAATGAGAATTGAGGAATATAAAGAACTAACCAAAAGACACATGGCAGATGATGGAAGTGTCTTTTTATTGCTTTGTTTTTGTTACCTACCCAGTAGAAATGGAGCAGACATAACTAACAGCAAGAGAACCAACCCATCAGTAAACTTGGTTATGGTAGAATTGGGGAGGTACGCCTGATCCCTTATAAAGCAACTCTGGGCAATCAGATCTAAGTTATAATAGACCCCTGACATTTGATGGCTTATAAATATAGCAAGACTACCAAATGTCACCCATCTTAGCATTAGACATAATGATAATCAGTTGGAGTGAAGCCCTCTGTTACTAATTCAATTAATGTCTAGAAATATGCATTCACACTGATAATCAGTGGAACACAGGTGGTCTTATAAATGCCCAGTAGATTTACCAGGAAGGATCTACAATTCGATTTTGGCAAGCCTCCACATATAATATGGAGAGAATGTTTAGAAGCTGGAGTAAAGGAATTGTTGGCTTCCTTTTCCTTTCAGGGCGATATCTAAAACACTTCTGCCAAGCTTAAAAATTCAGCCTTCTCATTTCCTCATTCTACTGGCAAACTTCACACCAGTAAAGATGGCGAGGAAGGGAACTGGAAGCGTGGGGTGCAAACACATAGCTGCTGATTTCACTTAATTGCTTTCTTTTTATGGGAATGCATAAAACTAATAATTATTGCATGATAAACGAGGAACAAATTGAAGTGTGACTCCAGCTTGTGAAAATCTTTGGTGCATAAAACTTTGAACATGACACATCCAGATTCGCAAATTACTGCATCCAAAATTTAGTTCCTTTGGCAGCCAGACTCCTTCAATCAGACAACTTGTTAGAATCCTCTCTCATATATTTGCATCTTTTTCTTTTTTAAACTTTGAGATCCAGAATTTTAAAGCTTAATAATTGAAAACAATTTCCTGAAATTAAACAAACAACTTGAATTCATTTTAAAGAAATTTAAGTATGCTAAGTATTCTAAGCTGTCTCAATCAGGAGATTGGAACGTTTTTCTAATTTTGTTCTTCTTCTTCTATATTTGTGTTAGAGTCTCACTAAGATAGGGACTTTAATTCATAACAGTTTTCAGGTGTTTTACATTGTATAATAATTTTATTTAATTAAAATAAAATTTTCTTCTTTGGTCCTTTTTCAATAGTTAGTATTAAAAACAGCCTTGCTATGTGGTGGTGCCTTTAATCCTAGCACTTGGGAGGCAAAGATAGATGGATCTCCAGGTTTGAGGCCAGCCTGGTCAACACAGTGAGTGCCAAGATATCCAGGGCAACACAGAGAAACCATATCTTGATTGATTGATAGATAGACAGATAGATAGATAGATAGATAGATAGATAGATAGATAGATAGATAGATAGATAGATAAGATAGGTGGGTGGGTGGGTCAGTGGATGGGTAGATAGATAAATAGATAGGTAGATAGATAGATAGATAGATAGATAGATAGATAGATAGATAGATAACAGGACAACACTGAGAAACCCTGTCTTGAACGATAAATAGATCATCAATAGATAAGGTTAGATTATATATAGAATATGGATAGGTAGAACGATAGATAGATAGATAGATAGATAGATAGATAGATAGATAGATAGGCATAGATAAAATTAAAACAGTGAGGGTTTTCTGTGTTATATGTCTCTGTGTGTGCATGTGCTTTTTGTGCTTTTTCTTTTACACTAACATTTATTTTGTTCTGCCGTGGCTCATCTTTTTTAATTGCCTGTTTTATAAATCAAAAAAGAAGAAAAACATGGAGTTGTATGGATGGGGAGGTGCGGTGCATCTAGGACGAGAAGAAGGGTAAATTATAAACTAAATATATTGTATGGGGAAAAGTATATTTTCAAATAAAAGAAAACAAACAGTATTGACTGAATGCATTTGCCATGTGTGTTTATTCTAAGCATGTGTGCCAAGCCTGGATATCAACCTTACTTACCTCTCTGGATTAGCCACCAGCAATACGATATTGAGTAACTTTCCACTGACTCTGAATCCATTATTGTTTGGTGATGATATTTTTTAACTTGTGTATATATTTCAATACAAAAAATATTCCAACGTCCTAGACATTGCTCAGGGGATAAAGGGCTTGCCTCCCAAGTGTGGAGAATGCTGTTTGTGTGCCTACAACCAATGTAAAAGCTGAGTGGATGAGGTGTTGAGCCCATAATCCAAGCATTCAGGAGATCGGAGGGGATTTCCTGCAAAGCTGGCTGTCTAGAGTGGCCAAACCTAAAATCTATGCTTCAGGAAGTGGCTGCTTCATAAATAAAGCAGAAAACAGTATTAAGGCACCCAACATCAACCTCTGGATTCTGTACTCACATGCACGGCCATGCGTGCACGTTCACCCACGTGCGTGCGTTCTCACACACATCCCACACATATGTGGATACATATGCACAAAAATACAAATATCCTACACTTACATACACACACACACACACACACACACACCATTCCAAAAGAAGAAGAGAAAGAAAGGAAGGAACAAGGGAGGGAAGGAAAGGAAGGAAGGAAGGAAGGAAGGAAGGAAGGAAGGAAGGAAGGAAGGAAGGAAGGAAGGAAGGAAGGTAAGTAACAGACAATTCTGAGATACAAAGTCAGCAAACTCAATTCTATTTGTTTATAAATGTAAGTCCAATGCCCCTTTTAAAATTCAAAATTGTCAAACATTCTGCATGGCAGCTTCATTTTGGGGTGATAGTGGTTGTTGTTAGTGGCAAAACAATTATGAAATCAAGTTGACCTCGGTTCACTCATTAAAATCTGTCTCATACATTTCTATGGGATAAATATGTTAAACGGTTTCGTTTCTTGTGCTTCTTTATGTTTACAGTATTCCGTTCTTATCATTATAAGCCTTCTTCACCTGCCAGAGCCCTTATTCAATTTCTGAACATTTAGATCAGTCCCTAGATAATGCAGCATGCTCAGACCTAGTTGGTCATTTGAAAGGCGTACATTGTATCTCATTTTAATATTCCTAATCAGTGCATCATGTAAATGCATTCTGAATAATGCATGTCTCCACTTTAATTACTTGTTTAATTATCTTTGGTTTTTTTTTTCAAAGCCTACAGCAATAGCTGTTGCTCAGATGATTAGAAAATTGCTTCCAGTTGCAGAAATCTATTTCCTGTTGTTTCTTTTGGCAGTGATTGCAGACCGGCCTCCCCCAGTCATCCGACAAGGTCCTGTGAATCAGACTGTAGCAGTGGATGGTACTTTAATCCTCAGCTGTGTGGCTACAGGCAGTCCAGTGCCCACAATTCTGTGGAGGAAGGATGGAGTCCTTGTTTCAACCCAAGATTCTCGGATCAAACAGCTGGAGAGTGGCATGCTCCAGATCCGCTACGCTAAGGTAACTCGAAAACACACCATGGACTTCCTGCTTGGTTCCACTTTAATTTTCTAGGTACCAACTAGCATTGAAATACCGTCATCGTCACCTAGATGAAATGCTAAATAAAAACAATAATACATTTTAATGGGATGCATTGTTTGTTGAGACATGCCACTGTGCCTGCTTAGGGTGATTTGAGTCATAACTTAGCTTATGGCAAGTAATTTAAGGTCCTATGGAGAGGGAAGAAAATTCGTTGGACGACATGATGAGGAAAGTGGTTGGGGACCTGAGAGAGTGTGTTTTGTGTGTGTGTGCATGTGTGATCACTCGTGTGTGTGTGTGTGTGTGTATGTGTGTGTGGTGTCTGTGTGTCTGTGTGCATGTATGTGTGTCTGTGTATATGTATATGTCTGTGTGTGTATGTATGGTGTCTGTGTGTCTGTGTGCATGTATGTGTGTCTGTGT